CCTGTCAACTCAACAAAAACCCTTAAAGGACCAGCAAACTCCCCCAAAAAAATGGTAGATGTGTTTTTGGTAGATGCCGACTTGGAAACTCAAAAGGTAAGATGTCTGCTCCTGATGTTCTGGGTCTGCATATCTCCTGCAACCATTACGAGGGGGTCCTATTTTATAATATAGGGAGTACAAGAGAAGTGACCTTACTAGAGAACAATGTATCTAGTACAAGACCCATAGAACAACCATCAGTCCCTCCCCCCATACCATGGTGCTAGGTGTAATCCTGGACTCTGACCTGTCCTTTCAGCCCCAAATCCAATCCCAGCTTTGCGCATTACCCTAGTAAACCAGTTATTATTAAAAACATAATAGATGTATATTCACAAACGGCTGTGATTTACAAAGCTCAAAAAAAAAAAATCATCAGATTGTAAGCTCCAAGGAGCAGGGCCCTCCTAACCCTCTTGTATTGAACTGTATTGTTCTGTATTGTCTCCCGTTATATTGTAAAGCGCTGAGCAAACTGTTGGCGCTATATAAATCCTGAATAATAATAATCAAAGATAATATTGCTCGATCCACTGCATGTGCTCTTTACTTGGGAAGATGCCACCTGGATCTATTCATCTTACATGTTTTGAGGGGTATCCCCTCTTCATCAGAGGGTTTGGCTTTGATGAAGAGTGGGCGCCCCTCAAACCGCAAAGCTGAATGCATCTAGGAAATCCTGCTGAACAAATCTAGAGAATTTTGAGGGGTATTTCCTCTTCATTAGAGGGTTTGTGTTTGATGAGAGGGAATACCCCTCGAAACACGATTTTTTGATGAGCTTTGTGAATCATAGTCGTTTGTGAGTATATATCCAATATGTTTTTATTAATAAACGGTTTATTAGGGTAAAACACAAGGCAGGTACATCCTCTCTTTCTTGCTTTTTTAGTACTATTTCCAGCATCCCCTGGCTACCTGTATGAGAGAGGCCTTAGGCTGGGTTGACAGTAGCGGCAAGACTTGCTACAGGATTTGATTTGATTTGATTTAAGTCACCCCCTCACTGCCTGTTTCAATCCTAAAAATGCTGACCCACCGCACTTCAACAATCATTAGAGGTATTATAGTTTTTCAAAGCAACTGGCAAAATATTTTTTATCCCTGCAATTCAGACTTATATATATATATATATATATATATACACTGCTCAAAAAAATTAAAGGTACAACTTTTAATCAGAGTATAGCATCAAATCAATTAAACTCCTGGGATACTGATCTGGTCAGTTAAGTAGCAGAGGGGGTTGCTAATCAGTTTCAGCTGCTTTAGTGTTAATGAAATTAACAAAAGTTGCACTAGATGGGCAACAATGAGACGACCCCCAAAACAGGAATGGTTTTACAGGTCATTGGCATTTTTTTCCACTACTGATCTTTTCTGACTGTTTTTCCCTAGTTTTGCATTTTGCTAGGGTCAGTGTCACTACTGGTAGCATAAGGCGATACCTGGATCCTACAGAGGTTGCATAGGCAGTCCAACTCCTCCAGGATGGCACATCAATATGTGCCATTGCCAGAGGGTTTGCTGTGTCTCCCAGCACAGTCTCAAGAGCATGGAGGAGATTCCAGGAGACAGGCAGTTACTCTAGGAGAGCTGGACAGGGCCATATACGGTTCTTAACCCATCAGCAGGACCGGTATCTGCACCTTTGTGCAAGGAGGAACAGGATGAGCACTGCCAGAGCCTTACAAAATGACCTCCAGCAGGCCACTGGTGTGAATGTCTCTGACCAACCAATCAGAAACAGACTTCATGAGGGTGGCCTGAGGGCCCGACGTCCTCTAGTGGGCCCTGTGCTCACTGCCCGGCACCATAGAGCTCAATTGGCATTTACCATTGAACACCAGAATCAGCAGGTCCACCACTGGCACCCTGTGCTTTTCACAAGCGAGAGCAGGTTCACCCTGAGCACATTTGACAGACATGAAAGGATCTGGAGAAGGCGTGGAGATCATTATGCTTCCTGTAACATCATTCAGCATGACCGTTTTGGTGGTGGGTCAGTGATGGTCTGGGAAGGCATATCCATGGAGGGACAGACAATCCTCTACAGGTTAGACAAAGGCACCCTGAATGCCATTAGGTATTTGGATGAAATCCTTGGACCCATCGTCAGACCCTACACTGGTGCAGTGGGTCCTGGGTTCCTGCTGGTGTACGGTAATGCCCGTCCTCATGTGGCGAGAGTATGCAGGCAGTTCACCTCTGGGATATCATGTTTTGGTCCATCCGACGACACCAGGTTGCACCTCGGATGCCCTGGTCCAGATCTGGGAGGAAATACCCCAAGACACCATCCGTCGTCTGATTAGGAGCATGCCCTGCCAACGTCAGGCATGCATAAAAGAGACATCCACACTTTTCGTCTGATGCAAGCTACATGGAAGAAGAGCTGGCCTACAAAACACTGTATCCTTTTCTATACTGTTCAAATGACAATAATGTATATACATGACCTACAAATAACTGCTTTCCTTACTTCGGGAAAAGTGGAGTTACACTTTAAGAAAACTATGGATCCCTGCAGTGTGTTCCAGAAGTTGCACTGTACGTTCAGCTCAGCCGAGTGTAGCAGAATGGGAATGATTGGCTCAGCCCAAGCTCTTATTGCAGTAGCTTCCAAACTACATTACTGGGAAGGGGGCCAAGTTTAAAGGGACACACTTGTCAGCGCAGAGTGCTTGTGGGGAAACAAACATTTTGCTGAGATGAAGCATATGTTTATTTTTCTTGTCATATTTTCCCTGTTTAATAATATAGTCTTGTTTTTTGCCTACTACTCTACCATTATAAATGGAGCAGAAGAACGTTTTACTGAAATAAAGAATAGACAGCTGCAGGACCCACAGTAACCAATCAGAATCCACTTCAATAAAATAATTGGTTGGAATGGATCTCTGCCCATTGCATCTCCTCACTTGTTTTGAGTCAGTTTTCTGTTTTATTTTGTTTTACAATTTTAAACTGAGGTATTTTATAAGACACATATCCATTTAAAAATTATGTTATGTTATGAGAAAAAAAAAAATTATATATATTTAAATATAACATTATCTATATTAAAAAATTAAATAACATATTAACTATTAAAAGTAATAAAAATAATAATATTATATAAATTATAATAATATTTACCTAAATAATATGAAGTATTGAACATTTTATATCCACACAATTTCAAGCTTCTCTTTACCTTATATACTATATATATACGTATGTATACTATACAAATGTATATCAAATATAACATTTTTCTTTATAACAAATTATATTTTAAATAACATATTATAATAGCAATAGTTTATTAAATTAAAAATAGTAATAATAATATATAATAGTATATACACATTCAGCTGAGCTGCTGAGCTCTGTACACACAACCCCTACAACATGAGGTAGAGAAACTTGAAAATGTGTTAATGCAAAATATTATCTTTCAATACTTCATATTTGGTATCTAACTATAAAAAAATAGAAACCAATCAGCTTCCAGATATTTTTGTCAAAGCTTAATAGAACAAGCTGAAGTTAGAAGCTGACCGGCTACACCAGATTTTGCACTCTCCAGTTTTAGTAGATGAACCTCACAGTGTACTGTTCTCCAGCTGCACAGTCAGTTTTGGGTTGCTAACAAAAGTCATGAGATTTGTGGCACAGCAAATAAGACCTCATATGTCTACAGCAACTTGCTCTTTTAGTATGGCCCTGGCAGAACGCATCCCTAATTCAACCAGTCACAGTCATTATAGTTGTGCTACACATTGCAGAGAGACAATAGGAGGGACTCCACATAAAACTGATTTTCTCCTTTTGCTTGGAGTAGTGCAGCACCTAAACCTCTTTTATTCTTCTTAATATTTAACGCCATGACAAGCAGATCTCCATGTACAACCAGCATCTCAGCCCGCATACCACTGCTGTTGATGTAGATGCATTATGCCTCTACTGCTGCAACAAATCCACTAGAGGGCGCTGGACATAAAAACGTATTTGTCCTCCAGTATTTCTATGGAAATCAGTCGGTGACACTTGGACATCCTGGTCAGTAGCCAAGACCCAGCATAAGATCTCAGCTCCACCCCAAACAGGTGGATATTGGATGGAAAAAGTGGAGTGAAAGCAGCCTTACCCTAGGTTCACACATAACCGTTTTCCGCAGTGTTTTGCAGAAACGCAGTACAGTCCATTTAACATGATTTCCTATGAGACAGGATCACATCTCCGCGTTTTCATCTGGTGCATTTTTTGGAAAGGGCCAGGGACTTTTTTGAATGCAAAAAGTTGAGTTTCTGGTTCTATAGACTTCAATGGAAACACTGCAGAAAAGCATGTAGTGCGTTTTTGTGGTTTGCTGCATTTTTTGATGCGTTTTAAATCTGCCTAGCAACAACAAAAAAGCAAAACGCATCAAAAACGTGGCAAAAACGTAAGTGCAAAACGCAACACAAAACGCACTGCAGAAAGAGGTCAAACGCAAACTGAAGATGTGTGAACCTAGCCTGCCACCTCTGCAGTTTGCGTTTGATCCATTTCTCCAGTGCTTTTTGCAGTGTGTTTTTACACATGCGTTTGCTGATGCATTTTGAGGTTGTTTTTTCAACTTGTTGTTCGGAGGAATAAAACGCAAAATGCATCAAAAACGAAAGTGCAAAAAAAAACACAAAACGCAATTCAAAACGCACTGCAGAAACGGATCAAATGCAAACTACAGAGGTATGAACCTAGCCTGCCACCTCTGCAGTTTGCGCTTGATCAATTTCTGCAGTGTGTTTTTACACATGCGTTTTTGACGTGTTTTTGAATAAAATAAAATGAAAAATGCATCAAAAACGTGTCAAAACAAATAAAAAAAACGCACTACATGCTTTTCTGCAGCGTTTCCATTGAAGTCTATAGATCCAGAAACGCAACTTTTTGCATTAAAAAAAGTCCCTGACCAGGAGCGGACTGACAACTCATGGGGCCCCGGGCAATAGGGGATCATGGGGCCCCTGTGTCCTTGCCCAAACTCAAAAAAGCCTATGAAAAAGGTACCAGGGGCATCTCATGGGGCCCCCTACTGACCCCCGGCCCTTAGGCAGTGCCCGAGTTTCCAAATGGTCAGTCCGCCCCTGTCCCTTTCCAAAAAACGCACCGGGTGACAACGTGGCGATGTGAATGTGTCCCATAGGAAATCATGGTAAATGGACTGCTGTGCGTTTCTGCAAAACGCAACGGAAAACGCCTAGGTGTGAACCTAGACTTAGGGTTTACATACATATTAACTTTCACGCTCCCCTCCCCCCCCCCCCAAACACTGGAATATCAGTTTGGGGTGGATTTACCCTTTAATAGGCATGTCTGAATACAGCAGGGCTCTTTTGTTACCTTGCGTCACCACCTTGCCGAATACGGGCAGCGTGTCCAGCGTGGAGCAGTTCCACCGCCGATTCCTGAACTGATACTGACATTCCTCAATGGCCAACTGAGCCCCTCGCCTGACGGAGTCCATGACTTCCAGATTCCTCTTACACATCTGCACCTGGCGCTGAATTAATCCCTTCAGCTTCTCACAAGTCTCCTCTTCTGAAATGCTGCCCACCGACGACAGTTTTGCAAGGTACCTGCAACGTAAACACAGTAAACGGATCACTTGCGGAACGGCAATTAAAATGAAGCTGTCACAACAGGCGAACGAAGCTGGATGGCAATAGTGGAGAGCAGCGCCGTGTGACCATGAAGTCATTTTCACGTTTTAGGCTTACACCGCTGTCGATTAATAATCGGCAGTGGAAAATCTGTGGGGTTTTTTTTTTTTTATGTTTTCTCATTTACTGACTTGGAGCTGCATGGAGTCAGAATTCTCACCCAGCCATGAACATGGCGAACACTGCAGTTAAAGTGGATATCTCTGTATTTGCAAATCTGCATGAATACATTCCTGACATGTCACAATATATGGCAACCCTATCATCTTTTGAAAAAAGCACCACTATTTATTATCAAGGCTGGATTCACAATGTTGCAGTGCGTCAACGCACAAATAATTTGATTGGGTAGTAAAAGGTGCATGTCTCTTTTTATAATGCAGCGCACCACAACAGACTGTAATGTGTTACCTTGCGGTTTGGTGCTTTCTTGGCAATATGGGGGGGGGGGGGGGGTGCAGGGGCGGACTGACAACTCATGGGGCCCCTGGGCAATAGGGGATCATGGGGCCCCTGTGTCCTTGCCCAAACAAAAAAAAGCCTATGAAAAAGGTACCAGGGGCATCTCATGGGGCCCCCTACTGACTCCGGGCCCTCAGGCAGTGCCCGAGTGCTCATATGGTCAGTCCACCCCTGGTAAGAAGGCACTGATGGGGACAGTTAATGCAAGGGGGCACTCTAAGGGAGTAAAATAATGTAAGGGGCACTCTGGCGGGGACATTTGATGTAAGAAGGCACTGATGGGGACAGTTAATCTAACGGGGCACTCTGTGGGGGGGGGGGGGCAATAGATGTAGGGAGGACTCTGATGAGGACAAGTGATGTAAAGCACTATGATGGGGGTAAGTAATATAAGAGAGGACCCTTATAAAAACCCTGATGTAAGGGGGAACTCTGATGAGGATTCCTGATGTAAGGAGGGGCTCTGATAGGAACACCAGGGGGCACAGGTTCAGTTTAATCACCTTAATCTAATGATAGCCTGATACATACTAGCATTCCCTGTTCATTCAGGGGGCGGACTGACAACTCATGGGGCCCCCGGGCAATAGGGGATCATGGGGCCCCTGTGTCCTTGCCCAAACTAAAAAAAAGCCTATGAAAAAGGTACCAGGGGCATCTCATGGGGCCACCTACTGACCCCGGGCCCTCGGGCAGTGCCCGAGTTTCCAGATGGTCAGTCCGCCCTTGGGGGGTGATTAATATGTTATTAAACCCAGGACCCTGCATTCACTATATCTGGTCTCCCACAACATGGAAGTATAACAGGGTGGATTTGATTTAAATCAAGTTGATTTAAGTCACAATTTAAATCATGATTTAAATCACTAATGAAAAGGCTCTATTTAAATCATCATTTTTAAAGAGCAACTGTCATCTCTGTCCCGCAGCGGCTCCTCCTCTGACCTGATGTTGAATCACCGACAGTCCCATTCACTTTAAGGGGACGGCTGGTGATGCGGCAGTCACACAACAAGGTGAGGGACGTGGCGGCAGCAGGTGAGTGGATGCCTGCTAACAGGCGCTGCCATGATGGATCTAAAATGACAGGTGCTCTTTAAATGTAAGGAATCCAACTCATTCTTGCTGGTAGTTAGAATCTTTAATATTTACAAACCAAATAAAGGTTTCCTTTCCAGAATAACACGCTGTCAGGTTAGTAAAACAGAGATATTCGAACCGATTTTAGATCAATAGGTTAATCACACATAGCTGGAGGACGACTCCAATTCTTTTCTTTCATGTCTTTTTCTCATGGTTACTGTGAAATTGTGTGAATGCATCAATGCAGTGCATGTTATCAGCAGAGCTTGGATTTATTGAATGAGTTTACCAAAAAATTTAAATATTGCAGAATATACAGCCTCGTGCTACATAACTACGCTCCGTTTCATGCTGAATAAACTAAATTATGAATTTATTTTAAATAGAAACTAGCTTTAGATAGATTGTTACTCCAAAAGCATTTTATTAAAATACATTTGATAAAAATAAAAAAAATCCAATTTAAATAAAACAAATCTGATTTTTTAAAAGAATTCATCGATTTTTATCCACCCTGAAGTGCAATAATTTTAGTAAATATAAACAGCTAAATACTTTTAGATTGTAAGCTCCAAGGAGCAGGGCCCACCTATCCCTCTTGTATTGAACTGTATTGTTGCTGTATTGTCTCCCATTATATTGTAAAGCGCTGAGCAAACTGTTGGCGTTATATTAATCCTGTATAATAATAATAATAATAAATACCTTTTCTCATCAGCAGTATATAGCAGTCTTGTGACTTTTATCAGTGTCCAGCCGTGCACTGGTTAATCTTGTAGGAGGAGTTTGCATTCTCCTCTGGCTGTCCTATGAGGCTGCCTAACCCCTAACCCTCTGTCTGGACAGTGCTGATTGGCCCTGTGCTGATCACATGCACCCTCCCCCCCCCCCCCCCCCAAAAAAAAAAAAACCTTTCTAGCATAGGAAAACGCATAGGTGTGAACCTAGACTTGGGGACAATGCTGCTTTGGATAAAATATTCATTTATTCTGGCTACTGGATTTAAATTCAGAGGCTTAAAAACAGAACTAAAAAACGCCTCTAAGGCTTCATTCACACATGAGCCCAGGGGGCGGTAAAACCAGGATATCCACATGACCTCCAGAGGATTTACCCCCTCCTTCCTGACCAGGCCATTTTTTGCATTACGGCACTGTGTCATTTTAACTGACAATTGCGCGGTCATGCAACGCTGCACCCATATGAAATTTACATCCTTTTTTTCTTACGAATAGAGCTTTCTTTCATGGTATTTGATCGCTTGTGCGTTTTTGATTTTCTCTATATAAAAATAAAAAAAAAAAAAAAGGCCGACAATTTTGACAAGAAAACAATATTTTTGACTTTTTGCTATTAAACATGTCCAGTAAAGAAATTTTAAAAAAAATCTAATTTTGTCATAAATGTAGGCCAAAATGTATTCTGCTATATGTCTTTGCTTAAAAAAAATCCCAGTACGTGTAAATTAATTGGTTTACGTGAAAGTTATAGCGTCTACAAACGGCGGCATATATACTGAGATTTTTTCTTTTTAATCTTTACTTTTACTAGTAATGGCTGTGATCAGCGATTTATAGCAGGACTGCGGAGGGCATTCTGACACTGGGGGGAATTGACTTGACATCCCCAGTGACACCAATGCAGTAATCGGTGCTAATAAAAAGCACTGACACTGTACTAATGGCACTGGGCAGGAAGGGGTTAACATCTGGGGCAATCAAAGGGTTAACTGTATGCTGTGCTTTCCACTGTAAGCACACTGCTTTGTATGGCTTTGCTATGCAGAGCCATGAAAAGCAGTGTGCAGGAGCTGACAGGGGAGAGATCTGTGTTGTTTACATACAGTTCTCTCCCTCCGTCGGTAATGCTCTGCGATCACTGGGTGCTGGCAATTAATCACTGGTCGGGACCAGGATTGACAGCCGAGGCTGCGAATAGCGGCGCAGGAAGGGCACGCGTGGCTCGCGCCCCCTACCCGAAAATGCAAAATCACATGTATATATGTGATTTTGCACACCCCTGCCACGCTGTAGCAGTATATCTGCTATAGGGTAGCGGGAAAGCGGATATATAATTATGGGTTTAGGAGGAGGAAAGGTGTGTAAGAGATAGAAAAATGTCCAGAGTGCATGAGGCCCTACTGGCACCAACACGCATGAGGCCCTACTGGCACCAACATGCATGAGGCCCTACTGGCACAACAAGCAGGAGGCTATGAGGCCCTACGCATGAGGCCCTACTGGCACCAACACGCAGGAGGCCCTACTGGCACCAACAAGCAGGAGGCCCTACTGGCACCAACAGCATGAGGCCCTACTGGCACCAACAAGCATGAGGCCCTACTGGCACCAACACGCATGAGGCCCTACTGAGGCACCAACACGCATGAGGCCCTACTGGCACCAACACGCATGAGGCCCATGGCACCAACACGCATGAGGCCCTACTGGCACCAACACGCATGAGGCCCTACTGGCACCAACATGTATCTAGCAAGGGCAGCGTGTTCGTGTTCGGTGCACACACACAAAACCACGCTTTTTCTGCACATTTGGTGTCAATGAGCCCTAAAAGTGGTTTTGTTTTTTCTCCCCACGTGCCTGAGGTCTAAAGCTGCAGTGGTGTTGACTTTAAAGACAAATGAATCCGTTGTCACAGAGCGAATCTGATCGATCATACCTGGCGGAGCTGCTAAATGACCTCAGCGTGCCGTCTTTTGATATGTCAGATTTTATAGAAGGCCATAAACAGAACCTAAGCACAGGATGTAAAGTGTTTACCACAAGTTTTTTTTTTTTTTTGAGGTTAACTGTTGAACGTTACCGGTTCCACGGCTGTGGTATCAGATGTGCAGAGAGCTGGCAGCCATCTTAGTTAGGCCTGCGTTGACAGACTGTTTCATCGTGTTCTCCTCTCTCTAACGGAGCTGGTGGACGTGTTGGCAGCAGATGAGTAAATGACTTGTAACTGCCGGTTCAGGCTGTTTAAAGCGATTTGCTTGCCTCAGTACAGAGCGCGGACTGTGCTCCGGGTGTGCGAACTTAAAGTGGAACTACACTGTGTGTATCAACCAAATGGAACCAAAAAAGCTGCTTAATTCATGTTTACCCTCCCGAAGATTTACCCCCATCCTGCCCAGGCCAATTTTCAGCTTTCACCGCTGCCGCATTTTGAATGACAATTGCGCAGTCATGCAACACTGTACCCATATGAGATTTGTATAATTTTTTCACATAAATAGAGCTTTCTTTTGGTGGTATTTAATCACCACTGGGTTTTTTTTTGCACTATAAACAAAAAAAAGCAAACATTTTGAGAAAACATTTTTTTCTTTGTTTCTATTATAAAATTTTGCAAACAGGTAATTTTTCTCATTTAGTGATGTGCATTGATGAAGATGCACTGAAGAGGCAGCACTGATGGACACTGATAAACTGCACTGATGAGGCAGCACTGATGAGGCGGCACTGGTGGGCACTGAAGAGGAAGCACTGACGAGGCTGCACTTATATGCGGCACTGATAGGCAGTAATGATGGGCATTGATAGGCGTCACTGATGGGCACTAATAGACAGCACTGAGGGGTAGTGACTGCAGCACTGATAGACGCTCAGCACAGACTGGCAGCACTCTGGGCACTGGATGGGCAGCACTGATGGGTACTGATGGGCAGCACTGATGGGCACTGATGGGCAGCACTGATGGGTACTTTTGGGGTTGCACTCATAATTAGAGCACTGATAACCAGTGCCCTGCTTATCAGAGTAGATATCTCCTTTGACAGTTGCAGGTTATTGGCAGTACTTTCCTCACGCTGTGCTCACACTTGTGAGACTTCACAATTGTGCGATTTCTAGTGCGGATTTATGTTGCGACTTTGATAGGATGTGACTTGGATGCACCCTATGGTTAAGAAGTGGGCAGCCACAAGTGTCCCTAACAACCAGTGAACAGCAGGTTGTAAAAGAGAGGGTGGCCGACGCGTCCCTAACAACGGCCCTAACAACAGATGACTCATCAGCTGTCAACAAGATTCTCACTGACAGTTGAATGTAAACAAAAGAATTCCGGCATTACAAAATGTAAAACAAACTCCGTGGGGATCCCCCCATAATCCATATCAGGCTCTCCAGGTCAGGTACAGATTTTAAGGGGAACCTCCCACCTAATTTTTTTTTTAATAAAATGGCGTTGGATCCCCCACAGAATCCATACCAGACCCTTAACCAAGCAGGTCAGGAAAGGGGGGGTACAATCAAATGCCCCCCTTCCTCCTGAACCATACCAGGCCACATTCCATGTGGGGGCAGGGGCGCTTTGGGTGAGATGCAGGGGGTGACTTGCAGGGGGTGATGCAGAAGCCCCCAAATTCCACCCCCCACGTAAATGAGTATGGGGTACTCATTCACAAAAAAAAAAAGTAACTGTAAAAAAAAAAAAAAAAAAAAAAAAAAAAAAACAGCCAGTTTTTTACAAGTCCTTTATTCAAAAACCAAAATCCTGCTGGCAGCTAATGAGTCATCGGCTGTCAAGGATGCGGCAGCCGCCCACTCCTTAGCAACCCACTGTTCACTGGTTGTTAAGGACATCGGCCATGTAAAGTGCATCTGTGCTGTGCAAAGAAACCAGATGTAGCCCTTCCAGACCCTAGAGCCCATTCACTCATCTATTAGCAGTAATGTGTGCTTTAAGAGCATAAGGATATCTTATGAACTACAAGCCATCTCCTCCCTATGCACTGTAGATAGACCCTGGGGTGGAAAAATGAAAAAAAAAAAAAAGAAACCAATGCAGACACCACATCTAAGATCAACCAGGATCGTCTGAGAACTACAGTGCACCTCCTCCTCATTCAGTGTTCATGAGGAAATGGGGGGGTGTTTTGTAGTCCAAACCAGGAGAGCAGCCTAGGGTGACAACGCTGCTCCTCCATGGATACAGTGCAGTGAGTGAGCATGGTCACCTTTGCAAAGTAAGTATTTAACTGGCAGGATTCTAAGGTAAAAACTAATAAAGAAAAGCCAGAAAAAGGAAATAAATGCAGCCATCACATTTAGGATCAACAAGGATTTTTGGTGAACTACAGCGCACCTCTTCCTCATTCAGATTTGGTGAGGTGAGGGGGAGGTGTTTGTAGTCCAAACAAGGAGAGCAGCCTAGGGTGACAACACAGCTCCTCCAATGGATACAGTTCAGTGAGTGAGCATGGTCACCTTTGCAAAGGAAGTGTTTAACTGGCATGTATTCCAAGGTGAAAAATAATAAAAGTAAAGCCAGGAAAAAGGAAATGAATGCAGCCATCACATCTAGGATCAACCTGGATTTTCGGTGAACTACAGCGCACTCCTCCTCATTCAGATTTGATGGGTGAGGGGGAGGTGTTTGTAGCCCAAACCAGGAGAGCAGCCTAGGGTGACAACGCTGCTCCTCCATGGATACAGTGCAGTGAATGAGCGTTGCCACCCTTGAAAAGGAAGTGTTTAACTGGCATGATTCCAAGGTGAAAAATAATAAAAGTAAAGCCAGGAAAAAAAGGAAATGAATGCAGCCATCACATTTTGGATCAATCAGGATTTTAAGTGAACTACAGTGAACTACTACCAGGAGAGCAGCCGAGGGTGACAACACGCCTCCTACAAAATTGTATACAGTGTATACTCTGCTGTAAATAATAACAGACAGAGAAAATGATACCAGGTTATTGCACTTTTAAAACCTGCAGAAGCCTGGCCCCCAGAGCTGACAATTCAACTTTTTTTTTGGTGCTGGAAAATCTTCCCCCTGTCTGTAAGAGTAATCTTGGCTGCCTGACAGCCCATCTGTCTCCTGCCTGATGATCAATGATCCTCATCCTGACATATCTTGCAGGAAGTTTGGGCAATGATCCTCCCTCATGCTCACAAGTCAGCAGCGCCCCCCCCCCCCTCTATCTCTGCGAATGCTCGGCGATGTGCCTTCCTCCCTCTGGATCTATCTTGTCAGAAATCCTGATTACTGCTCTATCCAAGTACTACTAGGAAAAGCCAAAGGTCGCCGGAGTCAGCCAAAATAAGCAGAGCGCCGCTTTGTGTGCCAGCTCCCAGCTGCCATACCGCTGCTGTTTTGTAATCGCATACAAACATCTTGTAGAAGCAACCCTGCAAAATGTGAGCTTAAAGGGGGTGTCCACATTTAAAGGGCAAACCGGGGCGACAAGCACTGCAAGCTTCAAAAAGTGATCGTTAGTGAATAAGGCGAAGCTCTGTTCTCTTCAATCGTCCAATCCTGTGCAAGATAAAAATCCTGACATACGACTGGACATTCAAGGTGAACGGAGCTTGCCTTGAATGCTAAGTGAACGGGCTCTGTGTAGTAAGGACCCAATCCCATCGGTGCATTAAGGACCCAATCCCATCTGTGCATTAAGGACCCAATCCCCCAACCCCATCTGTGCATTAAGGACCCAATCCCATCTGAGCATTAAGGACCCAATCCATCTGTGCATTAAGGACCCAATCCCATCTGAGCATTAAGGACCCAATCCCATCTGTGCATTCCCATCTGGGACCCAATCCCATCTGTGCATTAAAGACCCAATCACATCTGTGCATTAAAGACCCAATCACATCTGTGCATTGGCTAAATGGTTAGCACTTCCGCCTGGCAGTACTAGGGTCATTGGTTTGAATCCAAAACCACAGCACCACCTGCCTGGAGTTTGCATGTTCTCCCTGTGCCTGTGTGGGTTTCCTCCAAACACTCCAAAGACATGCCGGTAGGTAAATTGGGCTCCTGTCTAAATTGGCCCTGGTATGTGTATGTATGAATGTAAGTTAGGGACCTTAGATTGAGGGTTAGGGACTGATGTGAATGTACAATATATGTGTAAAGCACTGAGTAAATTGACGGCGCTATACAAGTACCTGAAATAAACAAAACACGCCATGTGCTCATAGCATTTTTTTTTTGTAGGTTTACATTTGTATCTTTGTTTCCACCGCATAATCTCATCATCTGATCGATCGAAAAAACTCGCATTCATGAAGAAAGTATCTCAGTGCTGCCGAAAAAAGCGAAAGGGTCGATAATATTCCTCCCTGGCTGATCGACTCAGTTTGATCAAATCCAATCAAAAACGGAACCTATCCAATCAAGTCTAAATCAAACGGAAGAGAAGGTATGACTATTCTTACATTTGTGGATTCAAACATTTTGATCAAATCACACTTTGACTGGATTTAAAAAAAAAAAAAAAAAAAAAAAAAAGAAGAATGGAAGCCCATGACCACCATAAGTGGTACGGCTAAAACCAAACTCTGCATTATAAGGTGTCTTTCTGGGGTTAGCATTCTCTCTTCTCTTCCTCAAGGCTGAAACTCTAGCAGTGCCTGGAGCCCTCCCACCCCTCGATGTATAAATGGGAGATTCTATAGACTTTCATCATTTATTATTAGCTGGAGAAGTATGGCCATAAATTATCTGCTAAACTGCTGAAATTCTTGGGCTTGTTTTATAGACAATTCTCCGACAAGGCGAGATCTCCGAGACTACAACCCTCTGGAGGAATACGTTTCATGAGAGACGGACACTGAGCTGCTACCTAGTACTAGTTGTATACATGTATACTCTATATTGTCCAAAGTATTGGTCGGCCTGCCTTTACACGCACATGAACTTTAATGGCCCCCCAGTCTTAGTCCGTAGGGTTCAATATTGAGTTGGCCCACCCTTTGCACCTATAACAGCTTCAACTCTTCTGGGAAGGCCTTCCACAAGGTTTAGGAGTGTGTCTATGGGAATGTTTGACCATTCTTCCAGAAGTGCATTTGTGAGGTCAGGCACTGATGTTGGACGAGAAGGCCTGGCTTGCAGTCTCCACTACAATTCATGCCAAAGGTGTTCTCTCGGGTTGAGGTCAGGACTCTGTGCAGGCCAGTCATGTTCCTCCACCCCAAACTCACTCATCCATGTCTTTAAGGACCTTGCTTTGTGCACTGGTGGGCAGTCATGTTGGGATAGGAAAGGGTCATCCCCAAACTGTTCCCACAAAGGTGGGAGCACAAAATTGTCCAAAATGTCTTGGTATGCTGACGCCTTAAGAGTTCCCTTTACTGGAACTAAGGGGCCAAGCCCAACCCCTGAAGAACAACCCCACCATAAGTACCATAATCCCCCCTCCAGCCAAACTTTACACTTGCCCACATTGCAGTCAGGCAAGTACCATTATCCTAACAGCCAAACCAGAGTCCAGTGGCTGCGTGCTTTACACCACTGCATCCAACACTTTGCATTGCACTTGGTGATGTAAGGCTTGGATGCAGCTGCTCGGCCATGGAAACCCATTCCATGAAGCTCTCTACGCACTGTTGTTGTGCTAATCTGAAGGCCACATGAAGTTTGGAGGTCTTTAGCTATTGACTCTGCAGACCGTTGGAGACCTCTGCACACTGTGCACTTCAGCATGCATTCACCCCACTCTGTCATGTTACATGGCCTACCACTTGGTGGCTGAGTTGGTGCTGTTCCCAATTGCTTCCACTTCGTTATAATCCCACTAACAGTTGACTGCGGAATATTTAGTAGCAAGGAGATTTCACGGATGGACTTATTGCACAGGTGGCAACCTATCATGGTACCACGCTTGAATTCACTGAGCTCCCGAGAGTGATCCATTCTTTCACAAATGTTTGTAGAAGCAGTCTGCATGCCTAGGGGCTTGATTGTATATACCTGTGGCCAATATAGTGTAGTGTATATACCGTATATATGTATTATATGAAAACACCCCAGCTCATTTTTTCAACAGAAGTTGTTAAATGGACATGAACACCACTGAAAAATTTTTTTTTGTTTGTTTTATAACAGCTTATAATTGTTTTAAACTTTTTTTAATGAATCCCCTCATGACATTCTCTGCATTAGCCACTTGCCTACGGGGCAGTTATACCCCCTTCCTGCCCAGGCCAATTTTTTTCAGCTCTGTCGCACTTTGAATGACAATTGACCGGTCATGCAACACTGTACCCATATGAAATTTTTATACTTTTTTTCACACAAATAGAGTTTTCTTTTGGTGGTATTTACTTGCCGCTGGGTGTTTTATTTTTTGCACTATAAACAAAAAAAAGAGCAAAAAATTTGAGAAAAATGTTTTTGTTCTTTGTTTCTATTATAAAATATTGCAAACAGGTAATTTTTCTCCTTCACCGATGTGCATTGATGAGGCTGCACTGATAGGGGCACTGATATGCGGCACTGGTTAGGTGGCACGGACTGTAGGTGGCACTGATGGGCAGCACTGATAGGTGGCACTGATAGGCAGCACTGTTGAGCTGGCACAGAGGATGGGCATGGACTGGTGGCACTGCTGGGCACTGACTGGCGGCACTGCTGGGTGGCAATGATTGGTGGCACTGCTGGGTTGCACTGATGGGCACTGGTAGGTGGCACTGCTGGGCAGCATTGATGGGCACAGGTGGGTGCCACTGCTGGGCACAGGTGGGTGGCATTGCTGGGCACTGATGAGCACAGGTGGGTGACACTGCTGGGCACTTGTGGGCTTCACTGCTGGGCGCTTGTGGGCGGCACAGGTGGTTGGCACTGCAGTGCCCCGATGATCGTGCCGATCCCTCCTCTGACAAATGCCGGTTCTCGGTAGTACTTTCCTCACGTTGTGACAGTGTGAGGAAAGTGCAGCTGATAACCGGCAATTGCATTTCCCGGTAATCAGTGTGTCAATTAATACAGCTGATCACGTGGTAAAAGGCCGCTGTGATTGGCCTTTTACCATATCACGTGATGAGGTGGACACAGATCACCGGGTACGTGCCCCCGGGGCGTGCAAGAGAGTGCATTCTGGGAGGATGTCATATGACGTCCACCCAGAACTGGCCGGCCGCAGTGCAGCAGTCATTCAGCTATCTGCCGTTGGCAAGAGGTTAAGGTACAAAACCTTTTAAGTGCAGCCAGGGTTGGGACAAGGGGTGGGTAGGAGGGGCGGCTGCCCTGGGCACTGTGGCACCCCCAGAGCGCACCGAGGAGATGTACAAATCATCACAACTACTTGTGTATCTAGGGGAATGATACCGCGTTTATTTCAGGACAAATGGGCCTCCATTTGATGGTAAATAGTAATGGATATCTCCTGATTTTTTTTTTATTATCAAAGAAAAAAACTGACAAAAAAATAAAAAATATCACTTTTAAAAAAAATGTAGCTGTGTATTTTTTTGCTATTACCATAACCTACCACCAAAGAACAACCCAAAACAAATTCTGCTGCTCCTGACGATCGCAGCAAGACAACATATGTGTGTGTTAATTGCTATTTGTACCCACAGTAGGACCCAAATGGTGCGTTTTGTGTGCGTTTTCTGGTTGCCCGACTCCAATCATGCACCTGTGAAACATGGACATGTGACAAAAAACACAGCAAAAAATTATTTTGTATGTGATTTCTATTCATTTCAATAGGGAGGTGTATTTTTGGTGTGCTTTTTAAACAGGGACCAAAAATGCAGCATGCAGGACTTTTAAAAACGCACCACACCTGCAGTGCACTGGAGCGAAGAGTTCAATTGGATTTAAAGAGATACATTTTTCATCTGATTTTTAAACCCCAAAAGTGTATCAAAAATTGACCCACATGAAGGGGCCCTAACTGACACTAGTGCTTCATTTTTAAAAATGCATTTTTTTTAAATACTGCCTAACATACCCTGACCTTTGACCCTAACACTGCCCTAATTTAAACCCTGATCTAGATATTTTATCTTATTTATTTTATTTATTTTTTTACACAATTTTTTATCTTAGTTTCCATTTTTCTCCTCTAGTAAGGAGAAAATGATACACAAATCTTTTTCTCCATTCTAAAGAAGAAAAAAACACAGAGGTGGACTGCATAGTGACTGATCACTGTGACAGCCAATCACAAATGATTACAGCGATTAGGTGATTGGGAATTGGTCCTCCTGTTTATGGATCGTTAGTCCATGACCCAGAGCTGTCCGTGATGGGTGAACTCTGCGCTGGGTGAACTCTCTGCTGGGTGAACTCTGCGCTGGGTGAACTCTGCGCTGGGTGAACTCTGCGCTGGGTGAACTCTGCGCTGGGTGAACTCTGCGCTGGGTGCGCGCTCACAGCACACAGTAGGACATATATTTTGCCCCACAGATACAGACCCACTTCAATGAAGTTGTATAAATACATACGTTTGGTGGGAAGGAGTTTAAAGTGTTACTAAAGCAAATGTTTTTTTTTTTAGTTTTGGATAAAGGGTCTACAGTCGGGGGGAGGGGGGGGGGGTCACAAAAAGATGCAGTGTATGTAATCCCCCACTGCCATAAGACATTGGGGTTAAACCCAGTACGGCCCCATTTAGTTGAATGGGCTGTGATCGGCGAGTGGTACTACCCACTGAACGCAACAGCAGGGATCATTTTTTAAAAGCATCATGGCCATGACATGTGAACACCCCCATGTGCTGCCTCTTCAGCTTAAAAGGGAGTGGTTGAGGGTGGGGCAGCAAAAACACAGCTCAGCTGTGTGTTTTTACCACCCTCCTAACTGCAGGTGTTAATGAGGCCCAACAATGGACCGTAATCCCATAAACTCTCATGTGTGCCAGAAAAGAGGAGGGAATTGTGGCAGAGTTCTTATTGTTACAGTATCCTAGACATACGAGAAGTCTGGGGCTAATCTCACCCACAAGGCTCTACCCGTAACAAAAATATGTCACTGCAATCACTCAGCCCCCCTGGTAAACAAAGCTATGAATGCCATGTAGGCAGCACAAGGGTGGAGATGCTGCATCAGCCATTCCAGGGAAGGTTTACATCATTTACAGAATACACTTATACCCCGAAATAGCAGAATTTTAAGCCTCCGAGAATTTCCCTTTAATTCAGAAAGATATGACGGTGATGATGATTAATATTATTCTTGATGACGATGATTTATTATTATTATTATTATTCTTGATGATTATTATTATTATTGATGACGATGATTATTATTATTATTATTATTATGATGATGATTATTATTATTATTGATGAATATTATTGATGTTGATGATTATTATTATTATTGATGAATATTATTGATGATGATGATTATTATTATTATTAATGATGATGATGATTATTGATGATGATGATGATGATGATGATGATGAATATTATTGTTGATGATTATTATTGATGATTATTATTAATGATTAATATTATTATTGATGATGATGATAATAATGATGATAATGATTCATATTATTGATGATGATAATGATTAATATTATAATTGATGATATTATTATTATTATTGATTATTATTGATGATGATTATTATGATGATGATTGATGATATTATTATTAATATTGATGATGGCGATGGTGATTATTATTGATGATTATTGATGATGATGACTATTATTGATGATGATGATGATTATTGATAATGATGATTATTATTGATGATGATGATGATGATTATTATTATGATTATTGATGATGATTGTTATTATTATTGATGATGATTATTATGGACGCTGATGATTATTATTAGTAAATCAGGCACACGTGGCGTAGAGCGTGCCTTCTGTCTCTAGAGCAGGGCTCCCATATTCCAGGCACGCCCATCAAATATTTCATGCTTTGAATGTTTTAAAACTTCCTTTCCGCAGCGAGCCAAAACTCCAATTTATCTTCTGTATATGTTTGAGATTCCCCTGTCCTAACACTTCGCCTTGACCTGCTTCCTGCCAGTGATACCATGGGATGACTTTCCCATCTGCTGGAGGCCTCCAAATAAGGATGCTCCAGGCGCTCTATAATATTGATCAGGTTACTGAGCTCCCGGCTCAGCCCTGGCTCAGGAGATTCTGTGCCAGCTAAAACATTATCGATAAAGTTACCCGTTACTAAATGCAGCCCAAAGGAGCTCTCTGGATGCAGCACCGTAACCATCAGATCAGGGGCAGACTGACAACTCATGGGGCCCCCGGGCAATAGGGGGTCATGGGGCCCCTGTGTCCTTGCCCAAACTCAAAAAAAGCCTATGAAAAAGGTACCAGGGGGATCTCATGGGGCCCCCTTCTGACCCCGGGCCCTCGGGCAGTGCCCGAGTTTCCAAATGGTCAGTCCGCCACTGCATCAGATATTAGCAAAGGAAATCTGCACTGGGGTCCACAGTTTTTAAAGCTATTCTCCAGCCTTTCCTTCAGTCTTGCACAGTTGTACAGGTTCCTATCCTGTGATAAAACGACTTATTCTGATTTGACTGCACACTGTGAGCTTTTCACTGTGTGCATTAGAAGCTGCAGCAAGTTAGAGCCTGCCTCATTTCCTGGCTGGAGGAAGTCCAGCATCATCTAGCTCTTTCCTCCTACGCCTTACTGTCCCTGGCCTGTACCTTTCATTAATTTGATTTAAGTTCTTTCATTGATGGAGGCTCAGTATCACATGTGTGTAATACCTTGGGTGGTCTTCATACAAATGTAGTCTGCACCCAAAAGCAAACATTTATTATATCGCAGCTTACCAATTCTAAGATGTAATGGCTGCATTCGTTTTCTTTTTTTGACTTTCTTTCTTCAGTTTTCATCTAGTGATCCAGCCTGTAAATTTGTTGTTTTTAAAAAGAACAAGCTCTCAGATGTGTCAGTTTACAGGGTTGTGATAAACCATTTAACACTGACAGGGGTGCTTACAATGATCAGCTTTTATTTATTCATGCAAAACCTTTATCCCAAATGGAAAAAAAAAAATTTTTTTGCTGTAACTGACTATAACATGCAAGCTGGAGTTTGGATCATTTTGTCAATGTATTTAAATCTGCTAGTACATCCAATACTCTCCTGCCCCGAGACTGACAATGCTGTAGTCTGCTGTGCTCCTTCACCCAGAGTGGGTGTACTCTAATACAGGTGGTGTGTTACTGGCCAGATCACCAGGTGAAAACAGATGGAAAAAGCCTAAAAAAGAATGTTAATGCAGCCACCACATCTAATGATTAGTAAGCTGCAATTAATTACGTTTGGTTGGGGTTTAATACCACTTTAATATTGACTCTGAATAAAAATTTTGTCCAGACCTGCTACCTGAATGGAATCCCAGACAAACTGAATACTATGGGCAGCACAGTGGCTAAATGGTTAGCACTTAGTACTAGGATTGTTGGTTCAAAGCCCAGCCACGGCACTACCTGGAGTTTGCATGTGCTCCCTGTGCCTGTGTGGGTTTCCTCTAGGTACTCCAGTTTCCTCCCATACTCCAAAGACATGCTGGAGGGTTAATAGGCTCCTGTCTAAATTGGCCCTAGTATGTGTATGTATGTGAGTTAGGGACCTTAGACTGTACACTCCTTGAGGGTTAGGGACTGATGTGAATGTACAATATATATACACATGTAAAGTGCTGCATAAATTGACAACACTATATAAGTACCTACAATAATATGGATGAATATGAAAACCACATTCACAGTTAGAATTCCATTTGTTCACGAAAACTTCACCGTCCTGTTCCTTCAAATTTTCTCATGACTAGAGTTGAAGACCGACATCGATTTAACACACCAACCATTAGAAAATTGAAAATCTAAAAACTTCCACTGGTGTATGGCCAGCTTGAGCTTGGGTTCACACTGATGTGGTGCGGAATTCGCATCGTTTTCTGTGCGATTTCCATACCGCATCATAATAGCACCCCGTTCATACGAACTGCTGCTGGGGTGTATTTTAAGTTAACGACACCCCAAAATCAGTTCGCAAAACACGGTGCAACGTGCAGAATCAGATCGCATGGATGTGAACACCGCATCCTCACCAAAAACATGCAGGACCATTTTTTTCATCCAAAAAAGGGTCCTGCACTTTTTTGGTAAGGATGCGGTGCAATTTGAGCCATACAAAATGGCTGAAACAATGTGTCTACAAACTATGAGCTATTTACTGCAATTTTTATTTATTTATTTTTATACTAGTAATGGCGGTGATCAGCGACATATAGTGGGACTGTGATAGTATGGTGGGCAATCTGACTCCAACTGACACTTTGTGGGAAAAAGTGGCACTAATACAGTGACCAGTGCTAATAATATACACTGACACTGTACTACCCATACGGAAGAAAAAAAAATATATTTGAAATATACTTTAAAAATATTATTCCCAAATATATTGAAATTGCATTTACAAATATATGTAAAAATATATGTTAAAAAAATCTGAAGAATATATTTAAAAATTTTTTTTTTTTAAATATATATTTTTTTAAATATATTCTTCAGATTTTTTTTAAGATAAAAAAGTAATTTTAACATATAATTCTACATGTATTTGTAAATGCATTCCAAAAATGTAGATTTGTATTTTTAAAAGACATACAGTATATTTGAAATGTATTTTTAAAAATATTTTTCATATATTTTGTAATAAAAACGCATTTCAACATGCAGTATATATATATATATATATATATATATATATATATATATATATATATATATATATATATATATATATTTATATTTCTTGAAATATATTTTGAACTATATGGAATATGGCCAAAATTGTAGCATTTCAAATATATTTCAATATATTTAGGATGAATATTTTAAAAATATATTTAAAATATATTTTTCTTCCATGTGGGTAATGTGGGTTAACTATCTAGAGGCATATTTTTTTTAAATATATTCTTCAGATTTTTTTTAACATATAAAAAAGTCATATATTTATATATATATATATATATTTCGTAATTAAAACACATTTCAACATACAATATATATATATATATAAATATATTTTGAAAATATTGAATATGGCCAAAATTGTAGCATTTCGAATATATGTCAATATATTTGGGAAGAATATTTTTAAAATATATTTCAAATATATTTTTCTTCCATGTAGGTAATGTTTGTTAACTATCTAGGGGAACTCAAAGGGTTGACTGTGTGCCTAACAGTGCTTGGTGTATTTACTGTGTTTGTGATATTACTAAGGATTTTTATTCCCTGCTCATCCCCGTTGTCAGGACAGAGCTCTGTGTTGTTTTCATTCACAGAGCTCTATCCTGCCATCCTATTATCCAATCAGCGGGTCTCTGCTGGCAATCATTGGCCAGGACCCGCTGATCGGCTTGTGCCGTGACCAATAACAGCACATCTGGGGAGGCGGGTACACGTGCACGCCTCCTACCTGGAAGAGCTGGATCACATATTAGATAGTAGAAAAGCCGATCTGCCGCCGTCCTCATACGTGAGTCGGTCGTGAAGCTGTTCCAATACGTTTTTTGAGTCACAAGTCCATGTTTCATGGGTGATTGATTGGAGTCAGGCAACCAAAAAAAATGGACAGGAAAAGCACTGGAAATGCATCAAAGACCCATATGCATTTTCCAGGCGTTTTTTTCAATGGAGCAGTGTGAAAACATCCTTTTTGGTGAAGAATCTGCCTATGTATGGGCTCACCTTATATCAGCAGCAAATATTAATTGGAGTTTTGTAAAACTGCCGCAGACATCCCCTTCACATAATGACATGTGAGCTAACAGTCTATGCACCAAAGCAAACACTTTTCTCTATGAAATGTAATGTTAACCCCGGTCTGGGGGATAAAGTCAGTTAGTGGTCACGCTCTATTTACCAAGAACAACTTTTCGAAGGATTATTAGCGCTCTTTCAGTAAGCGGTGAAATGACCAGTCGCCCCGCAGCTCACAAATCATAGCGGAGCCTTCCTTCCAATAATAAGAATGATTGCCATGTATTTCCCAAAATGCCATAAAAAAACAATTTCATGCTTCCTGTTTTATCACTTTCAGCTTCTTTCAATGACTGTCAGAGACCATGAGAGCTGAAAGATACGCTACAATCAGCCCGCTACATCCACTGAGGTTTAAGGACTACAAGTCCCAGCTTATGGCAAAGCCTACTGGGGAATGTTGTTTCTGAACCCCTTCTCCCTGGCCCCAGCATCTCTTACCCTAGGTTCCCACCGAAGCGTTTTCTGCAGCATTTTGCAGAAACGCACTACAGTCCCTTTACCACGATTTCCTATGGAAAACGTTCACATCTCCGCGTTTTCACCTGGTGCAGTTTTTGGAAAGGATTAGGGACTTTTTTGAATGTTTTTGGTTCTATAGACTTCAATGGAAGTGCTGCAGAAAAGCATGTAGTGCGTCTTTACTGCATTTCAAATCTGCCTAAAAACAAGAAAAAAAACGCATCAAAAACGAGGTAAAAAGCATGTGCAAAAATGCAAAACGCAATGCAAAAAGAAAATAAAAAATGGATAAAATGCAAACTGCACAGGCAGGGGAGGACTGACAACTCATGGGGCCCCCGGGTCCTTGCCCAAACTCAAAAAGCCTATGAAAAATGTACCAGGGGCATCTCATGGGGCCCCCTTCTGACCCCGGGCCCTCAGGCAGTGCCCGAGTTTCCAAATGGTCAGTCCCCCTGGGCACAGGTGGGAACCTAGCCTTAGAGCTCATGCGCGCTGGCCATCCTAGCCTTAGAGCTCATGCGCACTGGCCATCCTAGCCTTAGAGCTCATGCGCACTGGCCATCCTAGCCTTAGAGCTCATGCGCACTGGCCATTTAGCCCCATTGCATGAGGCTATGGCGATTAGATGCGAGTGGTCTGCTTTCATTTCAGGCAGTCGTTCCTGAGAGCGTTCTGCATTAAGGCCCCTTTCACATGAGTGGACTGATGGAGTCCGCCAATCCATTTTTCAGGCAAACCCGATTGGTCCATCCATAGACAATGTCCTTTGACACCCGCTGGCATCCAATCCGTTCCTGTATGTGTCCGCTGTGCAGCAGAGACCTGTCATCCAGCTGCTCAGTGGAGATCAGTGGAGAGATCCTCCTGCAGAGCAGGTGGATCACGCTGATGAGTCTGCCCTGTGTGAAAGGGGTCTAAAGTGTTACCAGACCCCGGACCCTGCATTCACTATATCTGGTCTCCCACAGTACACACAACATGGAAATGCTATTATTTTAGTAAATATAAACTGCTCAATACCTTTTCTCATCAGCAGTTACAGCAGTCTTGTGACTTCTATCAGTGTTCAGCTGAGCACTGGTTAACCCATACCTCCCAACTTTTTGTGGTGGGACAAGGGACACCTATTAGCAAATGTATGTGGACACACCCCTGCCATGCCCCCTTAAAGGACAATTAGACAAAAAAAAAAAAGATTTGTTCAAGTGTTTTTTTTTTTACGACTACTAATCCTTTATACTGGCTTATGGAGTTTATAAATGCAACAATTTAGAAATTGGATGAAATGTTTAGCACTGGGAAACACTTTATAGTTTGGACCAAAATGAGGGACAAATGAGGAGAAAAGAGGGACAAAGGGACTTTGTTCCAAATCAGGGACAATCCCTCGAATTCAGGGACAGTTGAGAGGTATGGTTAATCTTGTAGAAGGAGTTTTCATTTTCCTCTAACTGTCCTATGAGGCTGCATGATCCCTGACCCTCTGTTTGGATAGCACTGATTGGCCCTGAGCTGAGCACATGCACTCTCCCAAGAAAAAAGAAAAACCTCTATTAACACACACCAAACTGAGCATGTGCAGCGTACCTCCATGGCTCTGTTCCATCAGAAGATGGATTGGGGTCAGTAAAAGAATGGGAGGATCAGAGAAGACAGGATCAAACAATGTTTTTACTCAATGCGGATGATTAACCCCTTAGGTTCCTCAGTGAGTATAACAAGTATGCTTTGCTGCATATACAGACTGGTTTTACTGTTGTGGGTTTAGTAACGTCCAGCCGCAGCAGCTGTCAGCCTCTCACTGGGTTTGACAGGTGACTGTAGGAGAGTTTGACAGTGCGCCTGTACCTTCCACCCAGGTATAGACATGTTTGTAGTCCATATTAGTAGATCAGTCTAGGGCACATGTGTCAAACACAAGGCCCACGGGCCGAATCCGACCCTCCAGTCCATTTCATGTGGCCCTTGAACCTCTCCTGCAGGTACCCCCTTGTCTCAGCAGTCGGCAGCAGAGAGGAGAATAGAACTCCTCTGCCAAATCCTGCACCTCTCAGTGCAGCTGCAGCACTCCCTCATCTCTGCCTCCCCTGGTCTTGGCATTCAGCAGACTCTGGTAACTGACTCCACTCCTCCTCTGGTCCTGGTCCCTCCAGACCCTGCACTTTCTGCTTTCCAGCTCTTCCCCCAAAGTGCACGGCGATGTTAGGGAGGGTGTGGGATTCTTGACATCTGATATAATGATTGGGGGGGGGGGGGTGCTCGGGACATCTAATTTTACAGATACAACAGGCCCCTTGAGGGCAACCATAATGCTGATATCACCCACGCTGAAATGAAGTTTGACACCCCTGGTCTAAGGTAACAACCATGGCTCCCTCCATAGACAGCGCAGGAGGCGTAGCCACCCAGGGACATGAAGTATGTTATTTGCCAGTGTACCAGGTGAAAATAAAGCATAGAATGCTTGAAAAAAGGAAACAAATACAGCTACCATACATAGAAATCTGCAATATATTACATTTTTGGTTTTGGATTTATTACCACTTTAAGATCATACCTGGAATTTTGCTTTAAATGTGTCACCACTCCTAGTTTGACTTTGCCATATGGCACAGTTGCCTAACCTCCTCACTATAATTTACCTTGAAATACTGTATGCTATAGGCCAATCAATGGAACCGCATTGCGTGTAATGGCTAGCTGCCCCCACTTTAGCAGACATTATCTGAGTATGGTATGATATTAAACCAATTTTTTTTAGCTTTTCCAAGAACAGCACAGTGGCTCAATGGTTAGCACTTCTGCATGGCAGTACTTGGGTCGTTGGTTTGAATCCCAACCATCGCACCACCTGCTCTGGAGCTTGCATGTTCTCCCTGTGCCTGCATGGGTTTCCTCCCACAGACATGCTGGTAGGTAAACTGGTTCCTGTCTACAATTGGCCCTATTATGTGTGAGTTAGGGGCCTTAGGTTTTACACTCCGTGAGGGTTAGGAACTGATGTAAAAAAAAAAAAAAAAAAAATATATATATATATATATATAATATATATATTTTTTATATATATTTTTCTCATTTTTTATTATATATATATATATATATATATATATATATTTTTTTTTTTTTTTTTTTTTTTTTTTCCTCATTTATTTATATATATAAGAAAAATATATATATAAAAAAAAAATATATATATATATATATATATATATATATATATATATATATATATATATGTGTGTGTGTAGAGAGCTATGGAAGTACCTAAAATAAAATAAAGCTGCATTTAAAAAAAAAGACTCAGTGATTGCCTTTCCATATTTATGGCAGGTCCGCAGGCTGGCCGTGCCTGCTCTATAATCCGGCTGAGCAGTAAGAGAATAAGATCAGTATACAATGTCATAACAGAGTATTCCACGAATTGAGTGTTGAAGTACAGGTGACAGTCATCAGCTACTTATAGAACACTCTGAAACGCTCCGTCATCTTTATTGTCATACTGCTGAAAGGTGGGATCTCTTTAAATACCGTAGACAACATCTATGAAACTACGGAGCAGAAAGCTGATATCGCACAAACACATTTTTCCGACATCTGGGAAAATCTCTGAGATTGATGGACAACCTGTCCCTGTTCTCCGTATGAAAGAAAAGGGAACCTCAGAGCACAAGTGCCCCTTATCTGCTCATCAAAGAAATTAGTGGGGAGACTATGGTGTGTCCTGGCTGGACATGGAGAACATTAGATCTTTGACCATCGGTCATACTCAGTGAGAGGTCTTCCCACCTCTGGACAAGTTAGCCCCTATGACATTTAAAGCTGAATTCCAAGTGTTCAGCTAATTTATGAAGGCACTTAGTGAAGGCACTCTATGTGTTAAGTCCAAGGAGGTGCCTGCCACCTCCTGGCATTATTTCTATTATTTATATCTGACAGGTTTAGGTGCATGTTTAATAAATTGTGTTAATTTTTAGTATGCTCCAGCAGCATAGCTTCCAGAGCTCTGATGCTAAACTCAGCTGCTCTCAGCCGTTTTAAGTGTAGAGTCGGTGCCCACCCCACCCATCTCCTCCTCCTGCCCAATCACAGAAGCCTTTGTATTGTCTGAACTGATTCACACAATACAAAGGCTTCTGTGAATGGGCAGCAGAGGGGAGGGCAGACATAGCCCAAGTGTGCAGTGTACCCTCCTGCAGAGTCCTGAACCTGTTGGATATAAATAATACAGATAAGCCCACATGTGGCAAGCAGCAATTAGGTCTTGACTCATGGTGTGCCTGCACTTTTTTACAAATGTGTATATGGACTGCATTGCCAAATATGTGAATCAGTGAACAGTTTGCCATATGTAAAAGTGCAAAAAATAAATAAATGGACAGCACCAGAAAATACAACTAATATTCAATGTATCTCTAGATCCCATTCAAATAATAGTTACTTAAAAAACAAAAAGAATGGTGAACAAGTGCTGGTGCCATTAGTTACAGATAAACAGGGGACCACTTCCAGGTGCTCCAGGTGACCCCACATGGCTTTACCCTCACCACAATGGATGGACTTTGTATTACTAGATAGGTCTCACTGCGCTTTTTTTTGGTTGGACCCACTATGTATCTCGTCACCAACTTGACCATTCACATGTGCCAGTATGCGATTCCTTCCCATGCAATACACCACCACTCAAAAAACAGTATTATTATTATTATACAGGATTTTTATATAGCGCCAACAGTTTGCGCAGCGCTTTACAATATAAAGGGAGAAAGTACAATTACAATACATTTCAGTACAGAAGGAATGTGAGGGCCCGGCTTGTGGAGCTTACAATCTAAAGGAAGGGGAAGATGATACAAAAGGTGATAGCTGCGGGGGATGATCTGGTGGAGGTGATTCAAGTACAGTTCTTAGGTGGAGGTGGGGTAGGCTTCTCTGAAGAAGTGACTTTTCAAAGATCGCCTAAAGGCAGACAGGGTGGGGGCTGACCAGACATGCTGTAGTAGGGAGTTCCAGAGGATGGGAGAGGCTCTGGAGAAGTCCTGGAGGCGAGCGTGGGAGGAGGTGATAAGGGAGCTAGAGAGGAAGATATCTTGGGAGGAGCAGAGTGGGCAATTTGGCCGATATCTGTGGATCAGAGAAAAGAAGGGGCCCAAGAACAGAACCTTGGGGTAACCCAACAGAAAGGGGAAGAGGAGCGGAGAGGGAAGAGGAGCGGAGGAGGAGGAGTTGTATGTGACACTGAAAGTGTGCTGAGAAAGGTAAGAAGAGTATCAGGGAAAAGGTTCATTGTGCAAAGCAGCCGCCTTTATTAAACCATATAAAACCTTACAATTAGACCGCACTCACATGTATATGCGCCTGAAGACCGGCACCAGGTACATACAGCCCTTATGGTTAAGATGGCCGCCACTGCCCCAAGACCAGAAGCTGGCTGACGCTCCAGGGATGGGACATAACATATCAGCTAGGGGACACTGCTTCAACTAGTTTCGTCTGTAACTGGATGTCCTCAGAAAGCTAGTGTTCGCCATTTTGGAAGTGGCATTTATACCTTTCCAAATTAACCCTTTGGGGACCGGATGTAAACAACTTTTACAAAGTTGCTGATTTTGTGGAATTCTGCTTGAGTCCTTATGCACACTTGACATTTTTACAGCGGCTGTTTTTGGCTTTTGGCGTTTTTTTTTCTACAGCCAGCAAACTCCCCAGCATGCTATCCTATGTGTCCATACACACATAGACTGTAATCAACGTTTTTTTGGCTGGAAAAAAAAAAACCCAGGACTAGTGGGTTTCTAGGAGTTTTTTAGCTGTAAAAACGCTCTAACACTGAAAAAAGCGGCAAACCGCTGTAAAATACGGTGAATTGCGGGTAAAATCTGCGCTTTTGGGGGGTTTTTTTTGACAAAAAAAATGCTAAAAACCGCAAACGCACGAAAACGCTGCTAAATGCAGCAAAACGCTAATGCAAAACCGCTAAAAAAAGCTAAAAAAAACTCACATTTTTAATGTGACTTTACACAGCTAATGTTACCAGCGTTATCTAAACGTCCCGTGTGCATGAGGACTTAAAGCACAACTTCAAGCAAAATCAACATGATAAAAATGAATAGTCCATTAAAAAAAATAAAAGAACAAAACCAACTTTTGCTGCAGTATTCACCTTCAATCCAGTGATCTCATCACAGTATTGTTTTTCTGCCACTATATGTTCTCAGTCTGATGACCAATATCATTTTAGCCAAGGCCACCCTGGAACTGCCCCTAGGCCATGATTGGAAATTGCAAGGGCAAGCAGAACAGTGATAGGTTCATCTCTGTCACTGTCGCTTTCTCCTCCTATTAGTGTGCTTCTTGTGAGCACATGAACCGATTGGTTCCTTGTGCTGCTTCTTTCTCTAATAAGACAGGCAATGCAGTGAAGGCAATTCCCCGATGTGATATAGGCAGCAAAACAAAAACAAAAAAAATCACAGTTTAAAACGGTATTAAACATGCGTTTTTAAGCTGAGCACGTTATGCACAACTAAAAAAATAAAAACATTCCTCAGTAAACTATTTGTTAAAATTCTTACCCCTAGCACTGTCAGTTTACAACTTGCAATCCTGCTGTCTTAGTGCCGCTTCCCTGAACTTCCAGTTTTTACAGGAAAGAGATAAGAGTGGGCAGTGCAGTCTGCAGCCATCCTGTCAGCTTGGAGAAGGGAGGGGAAAGGAGGAGAGAGGAGCACATTCCATTCTAGGCTGAGGGGCTGCATGCTTCTATTGACGCACAGTATACACTATATCGCCGAAAGTATTTGGTACGCCTGCCTTTACACGCACATGACCTTTGATGGCATCCCAGTCTTGGTCTGTAGAGTTCAATATTGAGTTGGCCCCGCCCTTTGCAGCTATAACAGCTTCAACTCTTCTGGGAAGGCTGTCCACAAGGTTTAGGAGTGTGTCTATGGGAAGGTTTGACCATTCTTCCAGAAGTGCATTTGTGAGGTCAGGCACTGATGTCTAATGAGAAGGCCTGGCTCACAGTCTCTAGTCCAATTCAACTCAAAGGTGTTCTATCGGGGTGGAGGTCAGGACTCTATGCAGGCCAGTCCAGTTCCTCCACCCCAAACTCACTCATCCATGTCTTTATGGACCTTGCTTTGTGCACTGGCGCGCAGTCATGTTGGAACAGGAAGGGGCCATCCCCAAACTGTTCCCACAAAGTTGGGAGCATGAAATTGTCCAAAATGTCTTAGTATACTGATGCCTTAAGAGTTCCCTTCACTGGAACTAAGGGGCCCTGAAAAACAACCCCACACCATAATCCCCCAACTTTACACTTTGCACATTGCAGTCAGGCAAGTACTGTTCTGGCAACCGCCAAACCCAGACACGTCCATTGGATAACCAGGCAGAGAAGCGTAATTCATCACTCCAGAGAACACGTCTCTACTGCTCTAGAGTCCAGTGTTGGCGTGCTTTACACCACTGCATCTGACGCTTTGCATTGCACTTGGTGATGTAAGGCTTGGATGCAGCTGCTCGACCATGGAAACCCATTCCAGGGAGCTCTCTATGCAATGTTCTGCTAATCTGAAAGCCACATGAAATTTGGTGGTCTTTAGCTATTGACTCTGCAGACAGTTGGCGACTTCTGCACACTGTGTGCTTCAGCATGCGCTGACCCCTCTCTCTCATTTTACGTGGCCTACCACTTCGTGGCTGAGTTGCTGTTGTTCCCAATTGCTTCCACTTTGTCATAATACCACTAACAGTTGACCGTGGAATGTCTAGTAGCAAGGAAATGTCACAGATGGCCTTATTGCACAGGTGACAACCTATCACGGTACCACGCTTGAATTCACTGAGCTCCTGAGAGCGACCCATTCTTTCACAAATGTTCGTAGAAGCAGTCTGCATGCCTAGGCGCTTGATTCTATACACCTGTGGCATGAAGGTGATTGGAACACCTGAACACCAATCCAATATAGTGTATCTTCCTACACATCTCTAGTTGTGTAACTCCTAACGTAATTCTTGAGACACAACTCTAGGTCCTGCATGCAAGAGTTCATTGGATGCTGTAAGAGAAAGGAGCCACCCTAAATAGCACTAGCCTTTGGAGGAGGCGGTGGCAAATAACATTTCCTGAAGCTCCGCTTTAAACTACATACTATTGAATAGACTCAGTGGTGTTTCAGTAGAGGCCTCCAAAGCCTGTTACAATTTTAAATGAGTATAATATGCTTTGTGTGACAGGAGTGAGTATGGTGCTTTTTATCAGTATATATTTAGTTTTAGGAGCAATGTTCTAAGATACTGCAGAAAAATAATATTTTTCTAACCCTGTAAGTTAAAAAGGCCTTTTAAATAGCCAACAGAGGTCACCCCATCAAGTGTAAGATACTGTACGAATTACTGCTAAGTACTTTAACATTGGGGAGGAGCTTATACTGCTTAGCAGGGTACAGCAACAGGTTCTCTTAAATGCTGGCCCTTCAGAAGCATATACTCACCTTCCCTCCTCCCTTTTTTATGGGAAACATGGTATTTGCTCCCTGTTCTACTGTGCTTAGTGCTCCAGCACCACAGTCTATGACATGGGGGCAAGGAGAGGTTCCTTAGTCACAAGTAAGGTCATCCAAGGTATCTAGCTCCGTTACTTGGGGACATGGAGAAAATCCTTAGCTCTGCAAGAGTTCTAAGTCATGGCTTTGTGAATGCCCACTCAAAGCTCCCAGCTCTAGGACCCAGGTACATGAAAAAAGTACAGTAAACTCTAAGTCGTGGCTTTGTGCTTGGCCATCCAAGGCATCCAGCATTATGACCTGGGGTGGGTAGGGAGTCCTTAGCACTATGTAAGTTCTAAGTCATGGCTTCAGGACTGGACATCCAAGGCACCTAGCTTTATGACATAGGGGTGAGGAGGGAGTTCTTAGCCCTGTGTCAGTTCAAACTCACAGCTTCTTGATTGGCCTTCAAAGGCATCCAGCTCTATGACATGGTCTGTGAGTCTTTAGCCCCATATAAGGTCCAACGCAAGGCTTTGTGGTTGGCCATCCAAGGCACTGAGCTCTATGAAATAGGGCTGAGAAAGGGATTCTTAGCCTTGTGCAAGGTCAAAATCATGGTTTAGTGAATGGCAATCCAGGGCGCCTAGCTTTGCAACATGGGGCTGGGGAGGGAATCCTTAGCCCTGTGTAAGGCTTCATAATTTTCCATATCATAGCTTCATGATTGTCCGTTCCAGGTCCATGCCAGAGCTTCATAATTGTCCATACCAGGTCCATATCACAGCTTCATGTTTGTCCATCTAAGGTTAATGTCACAGCTTCATGATTAGTCATCTATGGTCCATATCACAGCTTCATGATTGTCCATACAAGGTCCATGTCAGCGCTTCATGATTGTCCACACAAGGTTCATGTCACAGCTTCATGACTTTCCATCTAAGGTCCATTTCACAGTGTCATGATTGGCCATCCAAGGTCCATGTCAGCGCATCATGATTGTCCATACAAGGTCCAATTCACAGCTTCATGACTTTCCATCTAAGGTCTATGTCACAGCGCCATACAGGGTCCATGTCAGGGCTTCATGATTGTCCATCCAAGGCATTCAGCTCTAGGACATTAAGGTTAGGGAGAGAGTACTCAGCCCTGCGTAATTTTCAAGCCATGGCTTGGAGCATATACAGTGTTTCCTAACATTACTCCCTGCATTCAGAGTGGTAGGTGAATAAATGAAAGCTGAGCAAGTGCAGGTGGATAGGTAAAGCACAGGTTCACTTTAAAGAAAATGTTTGGGAAACCTCTCCTTTTTTTGCTGTGAACACATTCTGTAACTGAACAACGGTCAATTGATTTTGGTAAACTTTTCAGTAGATGAGTTGTACAAAGCCCAGCTACTAATAAATCCGACATCTGCCCTCGCACTTCTTGGCTCTCTGTACTTTAACAATTGTGAGCCTAAAAAGCATGCAAACGTAAAAGAATGGCCTTGTAAACCACAATGGTTTATATATATAATACAGTACCCCCAGCTATGCGCAGCGTGTACAGCTGAGTGACTTCACTGACGTAGAAACCACAAGAGCAAAGGTTGCGTGATTATTATAGTGAAAAGGACCATAAACAATAAAACAAACTGTATGCTGAAATGTGAAGATTCTGTCCATGCATTGTAACCGCGTTTCAATCAAATAACTAATCCATGAGAGGAGAGGTGGGAATTTAAGAGAGTTTAAATTTAGCCTACAGCTGCTGAATGTAAATAGTAGGAATCCCTTACCTTGTTACTGTTACTGAACTGATGCAGAAGATTATGAGCTAAAAATGCAAAAAACACAGTGGACTGCAATGGAAAGCCATTGTATATAAATAGTATATTAATGAGATTGGCAGACCACACGTATAGAGTGGGGCTGCACACTGTAAACTTTCTACAGTTTGTAATGATATAACATTAGAAACCTAATATATACCAATTTCAATCGCCGAACTAATATTCTTATTTTCAAAAAGAAATAAACATACATACTCACTTCAATGCTGCGGGATCGCTGTGATGCTGCCGCTGTCCGTCGCCGGCAATACACCTGAGAAATGAGCGATCACATGACAGCTGATCACCCTAGGTCTTCTTGGAACAGAGAGCAGGGACTATCATTCACTGTACTGGCAGGAGAGGGTATGGGCATAGCTGGCTTCGGCTTTCAGCCATGGGCAGAGAGCTGGAACCAGCTGTCAATCAGGCAGCTGGCTTGATCCAAAAAATATTGTCAGGATCCTTCCAGTGCCTGGAGCAGCTCTGTGAACTGACTTTAGCGATCTGTTGGCTGATCATGGGGCACAGGAGTGCAAACTTTAGTGCACTCCTGTGCCCCAGGAAAGAAATATGGCCATAAAAGCTTTGACCATACTTCTCTTTTAAAGTTTCTATAGTCAGAACTTTGTTTTGGATGGAGTAGGGAAAGGCTAGAACTTCGGTCTACACTACCGTCTGCTTACCTCCAAACTTTCTAAGATGAGAAAGAGGTGCACCTTTGAATACCATGTGTAGCTGTCCCAAGGGGCAGTGCTACACATGTATGTAGGGATATGTCCCCTAATTACGCACATCATGAAAGATGAATATGCCAAAAATGGTTGCTCAAACCCATAAATGCTCTTTTCACCACTGGTAAAGGTTTGGTGTACTACAACATATTACAATAGTACTCTTTAGTAAAGAGATAGTCTCCCCAAATGAGGGCCATTTGGGAGCTATGCTCTGTTTTTACTTCAAAGTATTACTCCATTTTCCTGGTGGCTTCCTATCAACAATCAGGAAGTGTGGAAAAATCTCCCAAATGGGACAAGACAGTTTTTTGCACTGACATGGACTTTAATCCTTTCCCACTCTGTCCAAAATTCAGATACACTTTAAAACAAACCTGTACATTTGGGAAGAGTAACAGGCTATCTCCCACCAGCGCACTATGTTTGTTCTCCCCCCCCAACCCCACCGCCAACACTCCTGTGCAGGTGCACTATTTAAAGCTACATGCACATTGGGCCAAATGAGAGAAACCCAAAAATTCCTCCATCCACACTAAACAGCTAATGTATTGTGACAGCTGGAACCAGGGGCTGTCAGAATACCCCAACAGTGACTGCAACTAACTGACCACACCCGTTGTTTGGCTGACTTCAGTTTATCCATCTAATTTTGTTGAGGCAGGTGGTGTCAGCAGGGCCACTCATAGCTTGAAATTCTAGAAACATATGGCCAGCTTAGGTTCCGACACACAGGCCAACGCTCACACACAGGGCTAAAGACCCCTGCATAATTGCTACTCCAAAGAAGCTTACAATTTAACGGTTCTACCACCCTTGAACAGCAGACTTTAGTCCAGTATAAGGACACCAGTTAAACTAGAACACCCTTGAGGCATGCAAGGAAATGTGTTTTTTTTTCAGCCAGGTTGAGTAAGTTTTTGGGACCATCTCTGGTCAGGACTACAGTCTATTGATGATACTTTTGTTTCATGCACCTTCCTCCAGCGGAGCTACTGTATATCTCTCTACATCTGACGTTTTCTTGCAAACTACAAAAACAGATCTGGGACTAGAGAGATCCTTTTTTCTGGGCAAGATGGAGTATAATAAATCAGACTGCAGATGGACTCTAATATGCTGTGTATGCCTGGCCTTAGGTGACCCTAGCAGTGGTCTAGTTTACACCTGCATCCCAACCGAGAGGTTGAGGAGCGTTCTTAAAGCTCTTCTACCTCATACAGCTTCACCTGTCGCATAGTTTAAAGGCTAAGGCAGGCCATACATGGGCTGAATTCTGAACAAATTTTCTTTAGAAAATCAGAAATTTTGTTTGTTTTGTTATCCTGCCAAAATTGATTTCGAAATTCAACAAACCAAGTCTTCAATTTCACCTCATGTTGCTACAGAAAAGAGTGTTTGCGGCTGGTAATCTCCTTTTCTTTCCAGCTCATGCTCATTTCTTTTTCGATTATATTTCTCGCATGATTCTCCCATTAATGATTAGAAATCAGATGGATGCCAGCACATGGAGCAGCACAAGGTCTGAGGAAAGGAGGAGCCTTAGGAGGAGCCAACAGAGCGTGACGTCACAGCTGCCCGAAGCCACGAGGAGGCCCGGCGGCCATCTTTATTGAGGGGTCAGTACTACTCTGCATCTATCACTGATACATTGGGAGTGTTTACTACCCTGTTTTATACTGTATCTTTTTGAAATAAAGTCTTTAACCTTACTACACTATGGGCACCGTTTTTGGCTCCCATTGGAGCTAATTGATTTCCAGGACATCTCACCATTAACCACCACCACCAGAGGGAGGGAGCTCTGTATCCAGTACATGCACCCATTTAGCCTTAAGGGGATCTCTGGACCTGGAAGCCTTCACCGTATGCCACTGAGACAGAATACCAGGATTACTTACCTCTAGATGGATGCTCTCCT